AAAATTTCATGAATTCGTTGTTTTTTCAAATTATTGATGGTAGCACTGGGGAATCTGAGTCTGCTACAGAAAAACTTTTTTAACGAAAGTTGTAGCAAATTTTATACTTAGCAATATTGCTCTCTTGCACTTTTACTCTCAGACTCATAGATATCGAGAAAACTACGAAAATATGAAAATGTCATAAATTCGTTGTTTTTTCAACCGATTGATGGCAGCACTGGGGAATCTGAGCATATTACAGAAAAACTTTTCCAACAAAAGTTGTAACAAATTTTATTCTTAGCAATATTGCTATCTTGCATTTTTGCTCTCAGACGCATAGATATCGAAAAAAATACGAAAATTTGAAAATTTAATGAATTCGTTATTTTTTCAAATGGTTGAGGGCAGCACTAGGGAATCTGAGTCTGCTACAGAAAAACTTTTCCAACGAAAGTTGTAGAAAATTTTATGCTTAGCAATATTGCTTTCATGCACTTTTGCTCTTAGACGCATAGATATCGAGAAAAATATAAAAACATGAAAATTTCATGAATTCGTTGTTTTTTCAAACTATTGATGGTAGCACTGGGGAATCTGAATCTACCACAGAAAAACTTTTCCAGCGAAAGTTGTAGCAAATTTTATTCTTAACAAAATTGCTCTCTTGCACTTTTCCTATCAGATGCATAGATATCGAGAAAACTACGAAAATATGAAAATTTCATGAATTCGTTGTTTTCCAAACGATTGATGGCAGCTCTAGGGAATCTGAGTCTGCTACAGAAAAACTTTTTTAACGAAAGTTGTAGCAAATTTTATACTTAGCAATATTGCTCTCTTGCACTTTTACTCTCAGACTCATAGATATCGAGAAAACTACGAAAATATGAAAATGTCATAAACTCGTTGTTTTTTCAAACGATTGATGGCAGCACTGGGGAATCTGAGCATGTTACAGAAAAACTTTTCCAACGAAAGTTGTAGCAAATTTTATACTTAGCAGTATTGCTTTCTTGCACTTTTGCTCTTAGATATCGAGAAAACTACGAAAATATGAAAAATTCATGAATTCGTTGTTTCTTCAAACTATTGATGGTAGCACTGGGGAATCTGAGTCTACTACAGAATAACTTTTCCAACGAAAGTTGTAACAAATTCTATTTTTAACAAAATTGCTCTCTTGCACTTTTGCTCTCAGACGCATAGATATCGAGAAAAACTACGAAAATATAAAAATTTCATGAATTCGTTCTTTTTTTAAACGATTGATGGCAGCACTGGGGAATCTGAGCATGTTACAGAAAAACTTTTCCAACGAAAGTTGTAGCAAATTTATTCTTAACAATATTGCTCTCTTGCACTTTTGCTCTCAAATGCATGGATATTGACAAAAAAACCCAAAATATAAAAATTTGATGAATTTCGTTTTCAAAGCAGTTAATGATAACACCTGGATATCGGAGTAAGTTACAAAAAAACTTTTAGAACAAAAGTTGTAGCAAATTTTATTCTTAGTAACATTGTTGTCTTGCAGTTTACTTCTCAGATGCATAGATATTGAGAAAAATACGAAAATATAAAAATATCATGAATTTCGTTGTTTTCAAAGCAGATGCCAACCCATGCTACCAAAATTTCAAACCTCTACGAATAGTGGAACTTGAAAAAGTTCTAAGGAACCGGTTACGTGAGACACCCTGTATATAGTTAAGTTAGTTATATTTAGTTTTAAGAGTTTAGGTTGGTAGGAGAGTGAAGTTGTTGCTCTCAAATGCATAGATATTGAGAAAAAACCCAAAATATAAAAATTTATTATTATGTTATTTCGCAACAGTAGACATTTTACAAGATTTCTCCACGTTGATATTTATCAGATTATCCATATCAAATTCTAAATTCGACATTGGATTATCGACCCCGGTACTTTGTTTGTAATCAATAAATTTCACTGTAGGAACACATGATTTGATGGTAGTACTGGGGAATCTGAGCATGTTACTGAAAAACCTTTCGAACGAAAGTTGTAGGAAATTTTATTTTTAGCAATATTGCTCTCTTGTACTTTTGCTCTCAAATGCATAGATATTGAGAAAAATACTAAAATATAAAAATTTGATGAATTTCGTTTTCAAAGCAGTTAATGATAACACTTGGATATCGGAGCATGTTACAAAAAAACTTTTAAAACAAAAGTTGTAGCAAATTCTATTCTTAGCAGTAGTGGTATCTTGCACTTTACTTCTCAGATGCATAGATATTGAGAAAAATACGAAAATATAAAAATTTGATGAATTTTGTTGTTTTCAAAGCAGTTAATGATAACACTTGGATATCGCAGCATGTTACAAAAAAACTTTTCGAACAAGAGTTGTAGCAAATTTTATTCTTAGCAATATTGCTCTCTTGCACTTTACCTCTCAGATGCGTAGATATTGAGAAAAATACAAAAATAGAAAAATTTTATGAATTTCGTTGTTTTCAAAGCAGTTAATGATAACATTTGGATATTGGAGTATGTTACAAAAAAACTTTTAGAACAAAAGTTGTAGCAAATTTTATTCTTAGCAACATCGCTCTCTTGCACTTTTTCTATCAGATGCATAGATATTGAGCAAAATACGAAAATATAAAAATTTGATGAATGTCGTTGTTTTTAAAGCAGTTAATGATAACACTTGGATATCGGAGCACGTTACAAAAAAATGTTTATAACAAAAGTTGTAGCAAATTTTATTCTTAGCAACATTGCCCTCTTGCACTTTTCCTATCAGATGCATAGATATCGAGAAAACTACAAAAATATGAAAATTTCATGAATTCGTTGTTTTCCAAACGATTGATGGCAGCACTAGGGAATCTGAGTATGTTACAGAAAAACTTTTCCAACGAAAGTTGTAGCAAATTTTATTGTTGACAAAATTGCTTTCTTAAACTTTTGCTCTCAAGTGCATAGATATTGAGAAAAAACCCAAAGTATAAAAATTTGATGAATTTCGTTGTTTTCAAAGCAGTTAATGATAATACTTGGATATCGGAGCATGTTACAAAAAAACTTTTAGAACAAAAGTTGGAGCAAATTTTATTCTTATAAAAATTGCTCTCTTGCACTTTTGTTGTCAGATGCATAAATATTGAGAAAAATACGAAAATTCGTGGTTTCATAATTAGTTACTGGAAAGAAAAACGGTATTCCGAGCATGATACAAAAAAACTTTTATAACAAAACTTGTAGCAAATTTTACCCTTTACACATTGCTCTCTAACAGTTTTGCTCTCAGGTGCATCAATATGGAGAAAATTTCGAAAATATGAAAATTAGAAGAATTCGTGGATTCATAATTAGTTACTGGAAAGAAAAACGGTATTCCGAGCATGATACAAAAAAACTTTTATAACAAAAGTTGTAGCAAATTTTACCCTTTACATATTGCTCTCTAACAATTTTGCTCTCAGACGCATCAATATGGAGAAAATTTCGAAAATATAAAAATTAGAAGAATTCGTGGTTTCACAATTGGTTACTGGAAAACAAATGGTATTCCGAGCATGATACAGACAAACTTTTAGAACAAAAGTTGTAGTAAATTTTGTCACTTACACATTTCTTTCTAACCCTTTTGCTCTCAGATGCATCAATGTCCAGAAAAATGCGAAAATACGAAAATTAGAAGAATTTGTGAAATACATGAATTGAGACATAAACTACGACAGATGATATAAAGATGAAGAACATTAAAAAGTGTAAAGTCTGTGAAATACCTATGGTCGATAAAGACCTACCTATGACTATCTACTTGAGTAAGACATCTGAAAAAGACGCAAAAATCATAAATGCACTCTTTGGATTAACACTTGGCCTACTTCAAGTCAGACTCGTGGTTTTTAATGGCTAAGAGGATGGCGACTACTAATGCTGGCAAAAATTGGGATAATAGGGACGATGTTCAATGGTATCAAAAGCGATGTTAAGGTGACAGATATCAGAGACCACGTTGAAAAATATCAGGGATGATATTAATGAAGACCATGGACGATGTGAAGAGAAGATGTTGATCAATTGTTGATGAAGGCTGTGGTATTAGTGGGTAGAGATATCAGGAATAATGTAAAGCAATGCCATAATCAAGAGGAATGTTAGAAGATATCAGGGATTTTGTGAGATACCAGGAACGATTTTTTGAAACATACTCTGTGTGAAGAGTGCACATTCGTCCTTTTCATCTAGTTTTTCATGTTGTTCCACAAAAATAGACCCAAAATAGATCCTTGCGAGACATCTTTGCTAATCTGATGCCTAAATCACTCTCGGATATACTTTTTCACGATGATTATTAGATTCTCCGATATTCCCTTTCGTTGCAGTTCTTTTTCACAAGTCAACCTAACCACTGAGTAAGCCACCCAACCTCAAAGTAAGATAACTCAATCACAAAGTAACACAATTCCAAAAGAAATTAATCCAAGTTAATTCTGCAGCAAGTTAACCTCAAAGTAATCCAATTCCCACGTAAAGCATCCTCAAAGCTAGTCAACCCAACTCAAAAATAGGTTAAGTATAAAGTGAGATAATCTTACAGCAACTCAATCAAGCTCTAAAGCAAATTAATCCAATCCAATCTATTTTAATATAAAAGAAAATTTCTAGGAATTGTCAAGAATGGGTGGTGTAATTATGCCAAGGTCATTTGCGGCCGAGGCATTACATCGATTCAAATTGAACCATTTCTCAAGAATGCGTTTTATAATTATGCCAAGATAAACAAAATATTTCTTTATTTTTTTGTTAATTCATCACGACATTTTTATCTTTAGATATTAAAAAGATTGACAACAAAATTTTTTTTTAATTTAATTCGTTAATTTCTTATCTACTTTAAATCTAAAATTACCAATAATCACATCTTTTACACCATCTTTAACACCATCTATAACTTGTGATTGTTTTATTATCTTATCGAAAGTTTTTATATAAATTTAATATAAATGGATAACGCAACATTTCCAAAATAAACTTTGTATTATACAATTAATTAAAAGAAAGTTAAATAAAATGAAGTTAATTGTAGTATTAGCAGCTATAATTTGTGGTGTTTACTCATCAAGATCGGTCGTCGATTATTTCTTAGATGATGCTTGGGATTTCGTGGATGATTTAAACCCAATCGTTTTACCAACAATCGAAGACGAAATTGATTTCGTAAGTAACAAAAAAATGTGTAATATTATTATTATTTTTTTATATAGTTTGGTACTCCAGTTTATATGAAAATGTTATCAATAATAAATCCTCAAAACTTCACCAGAGGTTTTTTGGAATTAGGAAAAACCAATTTATGCATGGATATTAATGTAGAAGACGCTAATTTTACATTTAAATATGAACAAGCTGCCAAAGAACCCTACATTGATGCCCAAGTTAATGTTAATCACCCCGGTATTGGTTTTATCGACCAGGCCGAGATTTTAACCAACTACATAGGAACTAAATTAATTTTAACCGGATCGGGATTTTATCCGGTTACTAACAAAACCATTTATTCTTTGACATCTTTAACATTAAAATTTGAATACAAGTATAACTCAATTTAAAATAAAATCTTTTTGTTAACAAATTATTTTTAGGTGGGCTGAAACCGAAATTTTTTCATCTCAATCCATCGTCCACGCGATGTTGGATATTTGGAAACCAGTTTTTGAACCAAAACTTTTGAAATTAACCGGAAATGAAATTTTTATTCGATTAAACGAGGCATTTGTTGAATCAGAATCTTCGTTGTAAACAAATATAATTTGTCATTTATTATATTAAAATTGCAATTATATTAAAAAAAAATACATGTTTTATTATATTATAAATTTGAAATAGTGTCGTTATTTTATATTTTCGTATTTTTCTCAATATCTATGCATCTGAGAGCAAAAGTGCAAAAGAGCAATATAAGTAAGAATAAAATTTGCTACAACTCTTGTTCGAAAAGTTTTTTTGTAGCATACTAAGATTCTCCAGTGCTACCATCATTAGTTTGAAAAAGCAACGAATTCAAGAATTTATAATATTTTTGTATTTTGCTCGATATCTATGCATCTTAGAGTAAAAATGCCTCAGAGCTATTTTGCTAAGTATAAAATTTGCTACAACTCTTGTTAGAAAAGTTTTTTTGTAGCATACTAAGATTCTCCAGTGCTATCATCATTAGTTTGAAAAAACAACGAATTCAAGAAATTTTAATATTTTTGTATTTTGCTCGATATCTATGCATCTTAGAGTAAAAATGCAAGAGAGCAATCTTACTAAGTATTAAATTTGCTACAATGTTCTAAGAGTTTTTTTGTAACATGCTCCGATATCCAAGTGTTATCATTAACTGTTTTGAAAACAACGAAATTTATCGAATTTTTATATTTTCGTATTTTTCTCAATATATATGCATCTGAGAGCAAAAGTGCAAAAGAGCAATATTGGTAAGAATAAAATTTGCTACAACTCTTGTTCGAAAAGTTTTTTTATAGCTTACTCAGATTCTCCAATGCTACCATCATTAGTTTGAAAAAACAACGAATTCAAGAAATTTTCATATTTTTGTATTTTGCTCGATATCTATGCATCTTAGAGTAAAAATGCAACAGAGCAATTTTGCTAAGTATAAAATTTACTACAACTCTTGTTAGAAAAGTTTTTTTATAGCATACTCAGATTCTCCGGTGCTGCCATCATTACTTTGAAAAAACGACGAATTCAAGAAATTTTCATATTTTTGTATTTTGCTCGATATCTTTGTATCTTAGAGCAAAAGTGCAAGAGAGCAATGTTGTTAAGAATAAAATTTGCTACAACTTTTGTTCTAAAAGTTTTTTTGTAACATGCTCCGATATCCAAGTGTTATCATTAACTGTTTTGAAAACAACGAAATTTATAAAATTTTTATATTATCGTATTTTTCTCAATATCTATGCATCTGAGAGCAAAAGGGCAAAAGAACAATATTACTAAGAATAAAATTTGCTACAACTCTTGTTCGAAAAGTTGTTTTGTAGCATACTCAGATTCTCCAGTGCTACCATCATTAGCTTGAAAAAGCAACGAATTCATGAGATTTTCATATTTTTGTATTTTGCTCGATATCCATGCATCTTAGAGTAAAAATGCCTCAGAGCTATTTTGCTAAGAATAAAATTTGCTACAACTTTTGTTCGACAAGTTTTTCTGTATCATCCTCAAAATACCGTTTTTCTTTCATAAATCAATTATGAAACTACTATTCTTCTAATTTTCATATTTTCGAATTTTTCTCTACATTGATGCATCTAAGAGTCTAAAAGTATCTAAAAGTATTAGAGAGCAATGTGTAAGAGATAAAATTTACTACAAATTTTGTTGTAAAAATTTTTCTGTATAATGTTCGAAATACCGTTTTTCTTCCAGTAACCAATTGTGAAACCACTAATTCTTCTAATTTTCATATTTTCGAACTTTTCTCGACATTGATGCATCTGATAGCAAAAGTATTAGAGAGCAATGTGTAAAGGGTACAATTTGCTACAAATTTTGTTGTAAAAGTTTCTCTGTATCATCCTCGGAATACCGTTTTTTTTCCAGTAACCAATTGTGAAATAATGTCATATCAACCCAAAACTAATTATCACATAGCTGCGCCTCGGCCGTAAGCTGCCTCGGGTTTAATTACAATAGAAAACATATGATTAAGTCGAGGTTGCTTGCGGCCGAGGTTCAATAACTAACATCATACAAACCCGAAACTAAATATCATATTGCTGCGCCTTTGCCTCGGCTTGATTTCCACATGAAATGTATGATTTTATCCGACTAAGCCGAGGTTCAATGAATAATATGGTATCAACCTCAAAACTGGACATTACATTGTGGCGCCTCGGCATTAATTAAAATAGAACATATATGATGTTATTCGATTATGCAGAGGTCGCTTGCGGCCGAGGCTTAATGATTAATATTGTATCAACCTCAAACTGTAAAATATATGATTATGTCGAGATTCAATAACTAATTTCATATAAACCCAAAAGTAAATGTCATATTGCTGCGCTTCGGCTTGATTTCCATAAGAAATGTATGATTTTATCCGACTAAGCCGAGGTTCAATGAATAATATGGTATCAACATCAAAACTGGACATTACATTGTAGCGCCTCGACATTAATTAAAGTAGAAAATATATGATGTTATTCGATTATGCTGAGGTTGCTTGCGGCCCAGGCTCTATAACTAATATATCTACCCAAAACTAATCACAATATTGCTGCGTAATACATTGCGGAAAATATATGATGTTTTTCAATTAAGCCGAGGTCGCTTGCGGCCGAGGCTCAAAGATTAATATTGTATCAACCTCAAACTCGATATCATATTGTGGCGCCTCGGTTGCAAGCGACCTCGGGATTAATTACAGTAGGAAATATATGATGTTATTCGATTAAACTGACCTCGCTTACGGCCGAGGCTCAATGATTAATATTGTATCAAATAGTATGATATAAAAGAAAAAAATACGAATATGATATCAAAGTAGTACCTCGGCCGCAAGCGACCTCGGTTTTATTACTCTTGATATCGTTGAGAAGTGGTTAATTTCTGTATGCGATATGATATTAAAGTAGTGCCTCAGCTGTAAGCGAACTCGGCTTTGTTACTTTTGACATCGTTGAGAAGTAGTTAATTTCTGGATACGATATGATACAATGTAATGCCTCGGCCGCAAGCGACCTCGGCTTTATTACTCTAGATATCGTCGAGAAGTGGTTAATTTCTGTATGCAAAGTAGTGGCTCGCCAGCAAGCGAACTCGGCATTGTTACTCTTGATATCGTCGAGAAGTTGTTAATTTTTGTATGCGATGTGATATTAAAGTAGTGCCTCGGTCGTAAGCGGCCTTGAGTTTATTACTCTAGATATCATCGAGAAGTGGTTAATTTCTATATGCGATATGATGAAATGTAGTGCCTCGCCAGCAAGCGAATTCGGCTTTGTTACTCTTGATGTCGTTGAGAAATAGATAATTTTTGAATGCGATATGATATTAAAGTAGTGCCTCGGCCGCAAGCGACCTCGGCTTAATTACTTTAGATATCGTTGAGAAGTTGTTAATTTTTGTGTGCGATATGGTATTAAAGTACTGCCTCGGCCGCAAGCGACTTCGGCTTTATTACTCTAGATATCGTCGAAAAGTGGTTAATTTCTGTATGCGATGTGATATTCAAATATTGCCTCGGCCGCAAGCGACCTCGGTTTTATTACTCTTGATATTGTTAAGAAGTGATTAATTGCTGTATACGATATGATACAATGTAATGCCTCGGCCGCAAGCGACCTCGGCTTTATTACTCTTAATATCGTTGAGAAGTTGTTAATTCCTGTATGCGATATGATATTAAAGTAGTGCCTCGGCCGCAAGCGACCTCTGCTTTATTACTCTTGATATCGTCGAGAAGTTGTTAATTTCTGTATGTGATATGATATTAAAGTAGTGCCTCAGCTGTAAGCGAACTCGGCTTTGTAACTTTTGACATCGTTGAGAAGTAGTTAATTTCTGGATACGATATGATACAATGTAATGCCTCGGCTTTATTACTCTAGATATCGTCGAGAAGTGGTTAATTTCTGTATGCAAAGTAGTGGCTCGCCAGCAAGCGAACTCGGCTTTGTTACTCTTGATATCGTTGAGAAATTGTTAATTTTTGTATGCGATGTGATATTAAAGTAGTGCCTCGGTCGTAAGCGGCCTTGAGTTTATTACTCTAGATATCGTCGAGAAGTGGTTAATTTCTATATGCGATATGATGAAATGTAGTGCCTCGCCAGCAAGCGAATTCGGCTTTGTTACTCTTGATGTCGTTGAGAAATAGATAATTTTTGAATGCGATATGATATTAAAGTAGTGCCTCGGCCGCAAGCGACCTCGGCTTTATTACTCTAGATATCGTCGAGAAGTGATTACTTTCTGTATGTGATATGATGCGAAGTAGTGTCTCGCCAGCAAGCGAACTCGGCTTTGTTACTCTTGATATCGTTGAGAAGTTGTTAATTTATGTGTGCGATATGATATTAAAGTAGTGCCTCGGCCGCAAGCGACCTCGGCTTAATTACTCTAGATATCGTCGAGAAGTGGGTAATTTCTGTATGCGATATGATATTAAAGTAGTGCCTTGGCCGCAAGCGACCTCGGCTTAATTACTTTAGATATCGTTGAGAAGTTGTTAATTTCTGTGTGGGATATGATATTAAAGTAGTGTCTCGGCCGCAAGCGACTTCGGCTTTATTACTGTAGATATCGTCGAAAAGTGGTTAATTTCTGTATGCGATGTGATATTAAAATATTGCCTCGGCCGCAAGCGACCTCGGCTTTATTACTCTTGATATTGTTAAGAAGTGATTAATTTCTGTATACGATATGATACAATGTAATGCCTCGGCCGCAAGCGACCTCGGCTTTATTACTCTCGATATCGTTGAGAACTGGTTAATTTCTGGATGTGATATGAAAGAAAGTAATCTGCCGACAGAAAACTCCGGCAACGCATTGAAGATGCCACATGCTCTTCATCACCTTCGTCCATCACTTCCTGCATACCTTCTTTGTGTAGTCTAGAAAGTGAGCAGGAAGTGATGAAGAGAAAGGAGAAGTGCGAAAGAGCAATGGAAACCTTGAAATCATGGGCAGCAATTTGCACAGATAAATATTAGCACCGTGAAGACAAGAAGAAGTATAGAACCATAGGCAAAAAGTCTGGAAGAAATTGGACCATAAACAAATGATATGAAAGAGATAGATAAATTTGTCTATAAATGGAAGAAATGACGGGAAGAAGCTATGACTCCGTCCATAAGATTTAGATCCGGGTGGCTACCCACAGATTTTCCGATACCCATCATAACAGGATTTGGTTGCTAAATATAACGATATATAAGGAAGTAGTGAACGACCTGTTAGAAATAATATTTAACGATATTCCCAGTTAATCAAAACCGAATGAATTAAATTTAATGTTTTCATCATTTAATTTAATAATATTAGCATGTGTCGCATCAAATTGAAAAGTCCGAGCGCGTTTAAATCGTGACGACCCCGCAAGTTTATGAACTTTAGATCCACCACTGTAGTAGTAAAGTTGAAGTAAAAAAAAGTGTATAAAAGAGGCTATTTCGCAATAGCCGGGACCAACTCACTCGCCACTACTAGTGTTGTAACCTTTAAAAGTCACACCGTTCACGACTCGTTGCGGTAAAATTATAAAAGAGGATTTCGTAAAGATAAAAAAAATCTTCCCGCATCCGTGTAATTGGATTTTCCGTGCCACCCGCAATAAAACCTGTGTAAAGTTGAGTTATTTATGGTTAAAAAAAAAATAAAAGAACAACGGGATTATTGTTTTTAGATATATCTTTATTTTTGTACAACTATTTCGAGTTGTTATTGCAAAAAAAAATAGTCTTAAATATTTATTTTTTTATGTACACAAAGAACATTTTCAAACAATAATTAATTAATTAATATCAATAATAATTATTTCGTAGCGGTAGCCGTAACCGTTTTAGTTGTATTACTACCGTTACTAATATTGTTCAAAACACCATCAGAAACACTATGAAAACTATGAACCGAGTTCGTATTTAAAACATTTCCATTAGCCGTTCCAAGATTATGCGTTAAGCTGTGCCTTCTCAGGTCGCAGTTCCTACGAAACACTTTGCCGCACGCCGAACAATTGTACGGTTTGATGTCCGTGTGGGTCAACAGGTGAGTTTTCAGATTTGATCTCTGATTGAAGGAACGGCTGCAAACGGGACACTTGTGCGGTGACTCCTCCATGTGCAATATCTTATGCACGGCCAGGGTACGTGACTGGCAGAAGCCTTTGCCGCATTCGGTACACTTAAAGGGTTTCTCTTTACTGTGAATGTACCTGCAAAAAAAAACGAGAAATCATTTTTATGTCATTTTATTTTGTTGTTGGAGTCGGCGATCTTTAACACAAGAAAACAAGGTATTATGTTACTTAAAAGATGCCGAATAACAGATTTAAGTGTTGTGCTTCTTAGAAATGAAAGATTTGGTGGAAATGATTAAAATTAAAAGTTTAAAACTTGTTTATACTAATCCAGACACATTTATTATATGTTTAGGATTTTTAATGTGATATCGAATTTAGTAAAGTTGTTTAAAATATTTTTTTTTCCCAATTACTCCTAATGGCCTCGAATTACTCCCAATATCTTTCATGTCTATTAGTTTCCACTTACAACAAACCTTTAGATTTTAAAAGTTCTTAGTACATTTTAACGTCTCATAATTTTCAAAATTAGTGAAATGGAATGACGAGATATTTTTTCTCTTAATTACTCCTAATGGCCTCGAATTACTCCCAATATCTTTCATGTCTATTAGTACATCTCAAATCTTTAAATTTTAAAAGTTCTTAGTACATCTTAACGTCTCAAAATTTTTAAAGTTAGTGAAATTGAATGACTCCGAATGGCTTTATCATGTTGTGAAGCATTATGGAGATTTCATGGAGATTTCAAAGGCATCATGCAAATCTCAATAGAGATACCCTAGATATGGACTTGAACGTGGTGCAGAAGACGACGAAGTCTTTATAGAGAGATTATGCAGACTTTATACGAAATCACATGTATTAAGAGTTTATACAGATTTCTAGCAGGCGATACAATACAAAATTTTACAAGTTTAGAGATTCGATTCAAATTTATAAAGCTTAATACAAATTTAGTATGGACTATATGAAGATATTTTTAATGAAATATGATGAGTCTAGGCTCTGTACAGACTTGACTAATAAAAACATGTTGAAGACTTAATACAGAGATGATGTAACCTTGTTGCAGAAATGATTAAGATATCTAAAGGTAGACTTTTCTAAATATCGTATTAACATAGACTTGATAGAGATATGATGCAGTTTTGGTGTAAGCTTGACTTGATAGAAACATAGTAAAGACTTGCCATGCTCTCTATGTCTAGGAATTTATTACGATTTGCAAAGAATTTTCTGCAAATTTCCAAGTTAACCTAAAATTTCCACTGAAAATTAAGAATTTCTAAAGATTGCTTAAAGATTTCCAAAGTTATGAGAGATTTCCAATAATTGCTATGTATTTCTTCTTTCTTTGTCAAAATAATGAAGCTGCAATTAGATTTCTCATGATTTTCTAGGGATTAATAAAGACTTTGCACGAATTTCCAATATTTTAAGGAACCTCTAACGATTACCCATGATTTAAGGAATTAATAGAAATATGCAAAGAATTTTCAAAAGAAATTCAATGGATTTACGAAGTTATTTAACAATTTGGAAAAATCAGTGAACATTTTAGGGAGTTTTCCAAAGTAATTGAGGGATTGTTAAAAATTTCAATATGTATCCAAAAATATGTAAAGATTTTAAAGGATTTTTAAAAGTTTTGTACCAGCTTTTAGGGATTCAGGGATTTCTTCTTATTTTTTCTCCTAATTACTTCTAATGGCTTCGAATTACTCCCAATATCTTTCATGTCTATTAGTTTTCACTTACAACAAATCTTTAGATTTTAAAAGTTCTTAGTACATTTTAATATCTCATAATATTCAAAGTTAGTGAAATTGAATGACTCCGAATGGCTCCCTATAACTCCCAATATAAAGAGAATTTCCTTTATTGTGAAACTTCTAGATAATGTATTAATCCAGGAATTTTCTCTTGGAATATGTTTTGTAATAAACCGTATCTTCTCTTCTTCCTCATAGATGATCATAGAAGATACATTTAATATGGAATGACGACGTATTTTTTTCTCATAATTACTCCTAATGGCCTCGAATTACTCCCAATATCTTTCATGTCTATTAATTTCTACTTACACCTCAAATCTTTAGATTTTAAAAGTTCTTAGTACATTTTAATATCTCATAATTTTCAAAGTTAGTGAAATTGAATGACTCCGAATAGCTCCCTATAACTCCCAATATAAAAAGAATTTTCTATATTGTCAAACTTCTAGATAATGTATTAATCCAGGAATTTTCTCCTGGAATATGTTTTGTAATAAACCGTATCTTCTCTTCTTCCTCATAGATGATCATAGAAGATACATTTAATATGGAATGACGACATATTTTTTTCTCCTAATTACTCCTAATGGCCTCGAATTACTCCCAATATCTTTCATGTCTATTAATTTCCACGTACACCTCAAATCTTTAGATTTTAAAAGTTCTTAGTACATTTTAATGTCACATAATATTCAAAGTTAGTGAAATTGAATGACTCCGAATGGCTCCCTATAACTCCCAATATAAAGAGAATTTTCTATATTGTCAAACTTCTAGATAATGTATTAATCCAGGAATTTTCTCCTGGAATATGTTTTATAATAAACCATATCTTCTCTTCTGCCTCATAGATAATCATAGAAGATATATTTAATATGGAATGACGACATATTTTTTTCTCATAATTACTCCTAATGGCCTCGAATTACTCCCAATATCTTTCATATCTATTAATTTCTACTTACACCTCAAATCTTTAGATTTTAAAAGTTCTTAGTACACTTTAATGTCTCATAATTTTCAAAATTAGTGAAATTGAATGACTCCGAATGGCTCTCTATAACTCCCAATATAAAGAGAATTTCCTATATTGTCAAACTTCTAGATAATGTATTAATGTAGATCGGATTGAGATGTTATGCGGTCTTGATACTAACTTGATGGAGATTTAACTCAGTAAAGACTCGAGTTACTATGGAGGCTTACTGTATTTATCATGTTGTGAAGCATTATGGAGATTTGATGGAGATTTCAAAGGCGTCATGCAAATCTCCATAGAGATACCCTAGATATGGACTTGGTAGCATTAATACAAATTTAATAAAGACTATATGACGATATTTTTAATGAAATGAGTCTAGGTGAGTCTAGATGAGCCTAGGCTCTGTACAGACTTGACTAATAAAAACTTACAGACTGTACAGACTTGATAGAGATATGATGCAGTTTTGGTGTAAGCTTGACTTGATAGAAACATAGTAAAGACTTGCCATGCTCTCTACGTCTAGGAATTTATTACGATTTGCAAAGAATTTTTTGCAAGTTGACCTAAGATTTCCACTGAAAATTAAGAATTTCTAAAGATTGCATAAAGATTTCCAAAGTTATGAGAGATTTCCAATAATTGCTATGTATTTCTTTTTTCTTTGTCAAAATAATGGAGCTGCAATTAGATTTCTCATGATTTTCTAGGGATTAATAAAGGCTTTTCACGAATTTCTAATATTTTGAGGAACTTCTAACGATTATATGATTTAAGGAATTAATAGAAATATGCAAAGAATTTTCAAAAGAAATTCAATGGATTTACGAAGTTATTCAACAATTTGTAAAAATCAGTGAACATTTTAGGGAGTTTTCCAAGGTTATTGAGAGATTGTTAAAAATTTCAATATGTATCCAAAAATATGTAAACATTTTAAAGGATTTTTAAAAGTTTTATACCAGCTTTTAGGGATTCAGAGATTTCTAAGAATTACCACGAAATTCCAGTGCTTTACGAAGAATTGTGCGCTGTTTTGAATGATTTACCATTAAAAATTTACGTATTTATAAAGATTGTGTTTCCAGGAATTTCTAGAGATTTACGAAGAATTTTTAAAAGATATTCTTAGAATTTTTCTATTTTTAATAAATATTTATCAATTTCTAACTATTACTAGAAATGTTATAAAGATTTTAAAGCTATTTAGGGAGTTGTAGCAATTATTAGGCATTTCTAAATATATAAAAAGAATTTTTAAAGCATTTTTAATAGGATTTTCAAAAGTATCAAGATATATGTAAGAATTTCTAAAGATTTTAAGAAGTTTTACAAAGATTTTCAAGAATATTCAGGGATATTTAAGGATTAGTAAAGTTTTGCAAGTATTCAAAGATTTCCAAAGAGATTTCTAATAAATTTTATGAATTTTTAATGATTGATAAAGACATGACGGAGTTGATCAAAGATGTCTAAATGCCTAAAAAATGTTCAAGGATGTTTAAGACTTTTTGCAGATATCCAGAAGCTTTATATGAATTTCCAAAGTTTTTCGGAGACAATTTTCAAATATTTCTGTAGATTAACAAGTTTAATAAATTCTTAGCAATTCCAAAACTGATTTTAAGAAGATTTATAAGAATTTTCGAAGATATTCAGGGATATCCAACGATTACTAGGATTTCTAGTAGTTTCTTAACATTTTCGACTAAACCTAAGCATTTCAACATATATCCATTAAAGTTTTAAGATTCAACAGATTTCTAGAGGTTTTATAAAGATTTTTAAAGAAATTCAGGGATTTTTAACGGTTATCAGAAATTTCTGGAGAAGTACAAAGGATTTTCAATACAAATTTTAAAGCTTTTTAGGTTGACACATTTAAACATTCTTAAAGTTCAATGCGTTATGATATAAGAAGTAGTATAGTAGAAAAACCCTAGAAAATTGTGTAAAGAGGTATTTTCTTCAAAAGATTTATGTTTCTACATATCATATAAAAACATAAATTCCCAGAAAGAATTAAAGCACGACTAAAATATGGAATTGTAGTAGATTTTGGGCAAATAATTCTTGGGTAAATATATGACGTGTTCTCTTTAATAAAATTTATATGATTTTTCTATCATATAAAAATTATTCTAATCACCAACTTTTAGTACATTTTGGATAAATAATTCGTACGTTAGGTTATTTGTCCGGATTAATAATGCTTATGTAAAACTGTTATGCCTTCAATTATAATTCGATAAAAAGAGGATATAATCTTCTTATAGTCCTTTTGTTGTTGAAATCCATGTCCTAAAAATTCTTAAGCCATCAGACAAGAGATTCGGCTCAGACTACGTTCACAAGGAATCTTCTCTTCTTCCTCATTGCATGATTGAAATATTTGAGTTAGCGAGCTTTTATCCTAGTTATTAATTCGACGGACTTCTTCATTAGATACATTTATGTAGTTGTTGTTGATTTAACCATATATTTCTTTTTGTTATACCGAGACTACACCTCTTATTGACATCTCTCACTCGAGACATCAGCTGCTGCAATCCTATCAGAGATTATCACTCTGTATAGAATGTTATTCGCTCTTTTCCCATTTACAGATATTCTTTCATTGATCTCTATTCTGATATATTCTGAACAGACGTTGAATAATAAAAGGGATAATACTCATCCTTGCCTTACACTTCATGAGGTATTTATGGCATCTGACTGTTACCCTTCAATGGTTATGTATGCTATCTGATCCCAGTAAGATCTTTTCCCTCAACCTCAATACAGCTTATTATTATCACTAGCTTCATTAACTTCTCTGGTGCTCACCGCATTACGAAACTCTAAGTCCTTGATGTTTCTATGGCAATGTTACTATCGATAATCTAAAGTATATCATATAGAAACATAAAATATGAACAAAATCATATCGCGATTTGGTGATTACGAAAAACTCTCAATTTTTAGACAACTATCTTTACAGTTTGTATATATTCTTTTATGAATAATTTCCAGGATCAGTTCTCTATTCTCCATATCTCTTTGTCCCTGGTTTTTTAAGTATCAAGACAAATTCTCCTTATATCATATAATCATGTATCATATAAAGCAGTTATTATCCAGGAAAGGATTAAAAAATTGCAATTTTGGACATACAATGCTTGTGTGAAGATTAAAGGTTTTTCCACCTCTATTGAAAATATGCTGTTATGAGGTATCAGTTCTAATTAGAAAGTGATATCTCATAAAAAATCTCCTCTACCTCAAAAAAATATGCTCTTAACTTCTATATGTTCTCGTCTATATCATATAAGAAAGTTAATATGGGAATGCAAAAAAGAAACGAACCTAAATATTTCAAAGTGTATCATATAGAAGCAATTGAAACCAATACATAAACAGATTTATATTTATTAAGAAGTTTAAGAAGCATAAAATTCTGTGGAGTACGGAAAACTCAACTAAATATGATACAAGCTTAGAGGACCGACAAGAAAGAGTGATAAAAGTGAATAGAGGAAGAAAGAATAGTGATTTTTACTTCATGATGATCCAAAGTATATCACATAGTATATCACACAATTGGCTACGGAAAATTCTCGATTTTTACCAAAATAATACTTCTGTGAAAGTGTGATACCTTCTGTTGTAAGTCAATCATATAAAGTATCGTATAAGAATCAGAATGTAATGATATATAAGTACCATATAAAGACAATTATTATTCCGGAAAGGTTTAAAACATGCAAAAATATCAGATTTTGGACAAATGAAGCTTGTGCGAGCAAAATATGATATTGAGATTTATATGATCCCGCCTATATCATATAAGAAGAAATATGATGTTATTATATAGAAGTAGAAAAAAAATGATTTAAGTTTAGCTCTTTGATGTCTTTAATAGAGTTATTGGCGATAAAAACCAATATGTGTATCATACAGAAGTATAAAATATGAAAAAAATCATTACGTGATCTCTTGGCTACGAAAAATTATCAATTTTTAGCAAGTAAAGCTGTTATACTTTCTATTAGAAGTTAATTATATAAAGTATCATATAAGCATCATGATGTAATGATATATAAGTATCATATAGAGCAGTTATTATCCAGAAAAGCGTTACAAGGTGGTAACAACATCCGAATTTTTACAAATAATGCTTGTGGGAACAAAATATGCTATTGAGATTTATATGATCTCGCCTATATCATATAAGAAAGTTATTATGTAGAAGTAGAAAAAAGATGAAGTTAAGTTTAGCTCTTTGATGTCTTTAACAGAGCTATTGGCAATAAAAGTGGATAGATAAATAAAGAATAATAATGTTTGTTGGGTATGTTATCATCGATAAGCAAAAGTGTATCATATAGAAGCATAAAATATGAAAAAAATCATTTGGCGATCTGTTGGCTACGGAAAATTATCAATTTTTAGAAAATAGAGCTGTTATACTTTCTATTAGAAGTCAATTATATAAAGTATCATGATGTAACGATATATAAGTATCATATAGAGCAGTTATTATCCAGGAAAGCATTAAAAGGTGGCAAAAACATCCGAATTTTATTATTTATAAAAATTCTGCTTGTGAGAACAAAATAGGGAATTGAGATTTATATGATCTCGCCTATATCATATAAGAAAGTTAATATATAAAAATAGAAAAAAATTTAAGTTAAGTTTAGCTCTTTGATGTCTTTAATGGAGCTATTAGCAATGAAAGTGGATAGATAAATTAAGAATAATGATGTTTCTTGGCGACGTTATCATCGATAAGCCAAAATGTATCATATAGAAGTAGAAAATATGATAAAAATCATTTCGTGATCTGTTGGCTACGAAAAATTATCAATTTTTAGAAAATAGAGCTGTTATACTTTCTATTAGAAGTTAATTATATAAAGTATCATATAAGCGTCATGATGTAATGATATATAAGTATCATATAGAGCAGTTATTATCCAGAAAAGCATTACGAGGTGGTAAAAACATTCGAATTTTTAAAAATAATGTTTATAGGAAACTGTGAGGTCTTGGAACCATTGGAAAGTGTAAAAATATGCTCTCAAGTTCGTCTATATCATATTAGAAAGTATGAAATATGGAAAAAATCATTTCGCGATCTGTTGACTACGGAAAATTATCGATTTTTAACAAATACAGGTGTTATACTTTCTATTAGAAGTTAATTACATAAAGTATCATATAACCATTATGATGTAATGATATATAACTATCATATAGAGCAGTTATTATCCAGAAAAGTAATAAAAGATGGCAAAAACATCCGAATTTCTAAAAATAATGCTTATTGAAAACTGTGAGATCTTGGAACCATTGGAGAGTGTAAAAATATGCTCTTATGTTCGTCTATATCATATAAGAATGTATGAAATATGAAAAAAATTATTTCGCGAGCTGTTGGCTACAGAAAATTATCGATTTTTAACAAATAAAGGTGTTATACTTTCTATTAGAAGTTAATTATATAAAGTATCATATAAGTATCATGATGTAATGATATATAACTATCATATAGAGCAGTTATTATCCAGAAAAGTAATAAAAGATGGCAAAAACATCCGAATTTCTAAAAATAATGCTTATTGAACACTGTGAGATCTTGGAACCATGGGAGAGTGTAAAAATATGCTCTTAAGTTCGTCTATATCATATAAGAATGTATGAAATATAAAAAAAAATATTTCGCGAGCTGTTGGCTACGGAAAATTATCGATTTTTAACAAATAAAGGTGTTATACTTTCTATTAGAAGTTAATTATATAAAGTATCATATAAGCATCATGATGTAATGATATATAAGTATCATATAGAACAGTTATTATTTATATTTTTAGATATAATGCTTATAGGAAACTGTGCGATCTTGAAACCATTGGAGAGTGTAAATATATGCTGTTAAGTTCGTCTATATCATATAAGAAAGTTAATATGATAAAAGTGAAACCAATACATAAATAGATTACGGAAAACTCAACTAAATATGATACAAGCTTGGAGGACCGACAAGAAAGAGGTTGTCTATAGGAATAAAATATTTCTTGTAATCAGAAAAGAAGATGAAAGCAATACCACGATCGGCCGTCGGCTTAGAAAGTTTGAAGAGTATGAAAATTGACGTTAAATTTATAAACGATTTGAATAAGAAAAAGTCTAAGTGACTTTATAATTGAAATTATGTGAGCACGCGTCTCTTCTTCGTGATTCAAAATAAAAATATTAAAATAAAATGGTTCTTATTGACGCCGCGTGCGGCCGCATACTGAATAATTTCGTGGTAGTAAAGATTTGTAAAGTGGCTCGGCGAAAAAACATGAATTTAGTCAACCCCCCTTCCTTCCTTCCTTCTTTTTCTTTCACCAACCAGCTTAATATGGTGGACGTCGTCTACTCCTTCTTCTTCTTCTTTTAACGCGCTTCCAACAAAGACGTTTGTTGTGCAAATCTTGAAGAGGCTCGCGCCTTTTTATGTTCAGACGCGACGGGTGGAAATTTTTTATTATTATTATAATTATTATTAGCGTTGTTCTTTGGTATTCGAGTCGCGCCCCGATCGAAAGAATGAAAAGAGGGAGTCCGTGCGGTTGAATTAAATCATTTCGAAAAGAAACTAACCGTGAAATGTATTTCTTTTTAAAACCTTCTTTTTTGGGAGACATTTTGAAATTTATTTTAAGAGATTGTTGTGGGCGGATTTTACAGTTATTGGAAAGAGGAAGAAAAGTGTGTCGTAAAATATATACGAGTTTAAAGATAATTTTATTCCGGTTGTGTTCTCTTAGGCAATCTTTATCTACAAAGTCGTGAATACAAAATACGATAATAAAAAATTATATTTACCTATGATCTCTTAAATGATCTTGCCTCCTAAAAGCTTTCCCACAAATATCACAGCTATACGGCCGTTCATCAGTATGAGTCCTTTCGTGTATCAGCAAATTATAGCTTTTCGTAAATTGTCTATTACAGAATTTACAAATAAATTGTTTTTTGGGTCTTGAAGTTCCCTTTTTGTTGACAGCCCCCGTTGTGGAACTCGGTGTTGCAATAGTCGTTGTATTCGCCGCGTTATTTGATCCCGTCGTTGACGAAGAATTCTGATAAATCGAGTTCATAATCAGACTGGGATAAGTGGTATCGATGGGCGAGGAAGGAAACGCATCATCGTTGTCTAATAAGGCCAAATCTTCCTCGACTTCTTCCGCGAGATCAACATCGTCGGTTAAATTGGTTTGAGTATCGGCTTCTTCGGCGATTTTCGCGGTGTTTGTTGCGATTTTTAAGATATCGATTCGACTCGACGAAGAAGAAGTCGTCGTCGTTGAGATATTATTATTACTACTATTATTACCATTACTAGTGACATTATTAGTTACCGTCGTCAGTCTTTGCAACGTTAAATAAGATTCGAGTGCTTGAAGATTTAAAGCAGCCGCAGCTGCAGAATTCGCCGGGAGCAAAGCGGCTTGTTGTAACGAGTTCATCATCGCGTTCTGCAACGAAATCGCCACGTTTTGAATCGATCTTTGAAGGAAATTCTCTTGGAGGAGGATTTGATTTAGTTCTTGTTGATGACTTTTTGTTGGAGGGGATATTTCCCTATCACTGGTCGCGTCTTCTGTTTGCATCTTTATTTTTTAAATTCTTTGTCGGAAATAAAATCACACAACGAAAGCACCAACCACAACAAAAATAACTTGATTTAGTTCTTCACATTTTCACATTTACATTTCACCCTCGATCGAAATCAAAAATGAATTTCATTCGATTCGAAATGAAGAAATTACGTGAGGTTCGTCGCTTTACGTAGCGCCGCGATCTCGCGCGAAGAACTTAACACCGGACGCTCCGATGAGCGAATGCCGGCCGAGCAGGTAAGAAACCGCGCGAGGCGCGCCGTGCGCCATCTACCGCCCGAAGAACGCGTTCCAACGGATAAGGAAGAAAGATTAAACGTCGTCGTTGATGTGCTGTTGACGATGATGGTCTTTTTCTTAAAGAGTTCTTTAAAGATCAACCAGTTTTCCAATAACACGCACATCTAAACGATCCAGAAATAACTTGATGATTTTTTTTGAAATATTTTGATTCAAAAATAACGATTTTGAAGAGTTTAACATCAAGAAAAGTAGGCATCATATGGCGAAGATTTGCTGGCTTTCGCGATCGTATAAATCACTTAACGGGATGAGATGGCGCTGGAGCGACCGCGAGAGGCACCGCGCCACCTGCCGGCAGGGTAATAAGAACCTTCGGGGGTTCCCGGCGATCGCGCGCGGTTGCTACCATCGCACATCAATTACCATTATAACGGTATTAATACCATCTCTAAATCTTCTTCTGTTACAAAAAGACTAGAAGAAGTTTTTTTTATTTAAATAATAATTTGACTTTTTCTTATTCATAACTGGGATTCCCCCAAAAGTCTTGATTGATGTAACAAAATATTATGAAGCTGTCACAATTTTAACTTCATAGAGGTATTTCTTCCCATAGATTTTGCCAACGAAATTTCTTCACCACAAGTCTCTTCAGAAATTTGTTGCGCAATCTCGAAGTATTTTGAGATTTTGTGATCTGATCTTAAGATAATGAAATGTCTTTGTTTGCCCAATTGCATTTGGAGGAAATTTTCAAGTTCATTTGCGCAATCTTTCTCATCAACATTCTCCGATTTTGGACATCTTGCCTCGTTCATAGAGGTTCATAGAGAGTCTTCTACAGTACGCATCACTTGAGAAATCCACATCTGTTCCAGATCCTTTAGAAATTGGAATTTTCCCAATACAACTCCCAATACATACAAAAAATAACAATACATAAGATTGTATGGGAAACTGTGTAAACCATTACTTGTTTGAACACGAGTTTCGAAACACTTTAGCCCTAATCTGGCGCAGAGAGAATTTTCAAAAGTGTGTCTTTACACGCTTGAATTTGATTTCTCGAATACAGCAAGGCAATAATTCCTTTCTTAGTTCCACTTTTATAGTTTCACGGATCTCCTTTGCTCCTATCAAGACTTGGAACAAGCACAGTAACTGATATTCCAACCTCAATCGGGAAAAATTGTTTATTAGATGTATTATGCTTCTTGATTTGAAGTCATCGTTTTTCTTGTTGCACAATGAAGACATAAAACTGATGCTCCGTAACCCTCGTTGGTATAACTTGTACTTTGGGCACAAATAACATGAACATTTTGCGCACAGCTATAACACTTGGCGACTCCTGAAGTTTCTTTTTCGCATATGCAACAAAAAGGTTCTAATTTTGCCATATCAACATCAAAGGCAGGAGATGTTCCTTTAGTATTTTCTGCATCAGGAAACGGAGTTGATCCTCCAAGACTTTCTGCATTAGGACCACAAGTGCAATTCTCCTGCTCTAAAGTATAAAACTGATGCTCCGTAACCCTCGTTGCTATTACTTGTACTTTGGGCACAAATGACATGAACATTTTGCGCACAGCTATAACACTTGGCGACTCCTGAAGTTTCTTTTTCGCATATGCAACAAAAAGGTTCTAATTTTTCCATATCAACGTCAAAAGCAGGAGATGTTTCTTTAGTATTTTCTGCATCAGGAAACGGAGTTGATTCTCCAAGACTTTCTGCATTAGGACCACAAGTGGAATTCTCCTGCTCTACAGTAGTTGCAAGTGCCTTTTCAAGATCTTCTTCAGTTCTAAGAACTTTTTTGATAGAATCAGGCAATTCATTTCTTCCTTTACGGAAATAGAAGATATGAGTCCATTATCCGACTACAACACGCTGGGTGTTTCCAAAATACAAAAAAACATGTCTTCGTCTTTAATGGACGTAAAATTATAAACTTAGTTAGATGATCCTGGTAGTTTTTTTAATTTATTTAAATAACAGGGTTTTAACTGTTAATCCTTTTTTAGGTTGGTTCCTTTTTTCGTGGCATACTTGACAGAGCTCTAAATAGCAAATTATTGTTTCGCATATTTATTGCCTAGCGCTTTTATCATTCTATCTCTTCCACCGTGCCCACATTCATGATGAGCGTTGCGAATTACGTCAAAAAGATCGTCATTTGTAACAAAATATTGTGAAGCATTTTTTTTACACAATCCCGAGCATACAAAATACAATGCTGCTGAAAATGAAGACTATGCAAACTGCTGTAATTGGGTGAAACATATACATAAAGTAGAAATGGTAAGAAATATGTACAGATTGGACAAGGAGAATAAAGATGAACATGCCTTAATGTATTCGGCAGACATGCAAAAAGTTATCATGTTGCCAACGTATTTAAACAAGTAATATTCACTGCGAGGATAATAGTTTTAATTTTTAGTAAATATCCGAAAATGCTACTCTTATATCACAAAATCAACGGATATCAACGTATATCAAGTGATTGTAACCATATTAACTTTTGTTCAGCAAATACAATCGTTTTAAATGTGTCAAATTTCAACTGTCGTTTTCTCGAAACTAGAGTTTACTTATATACGGTGTTTATTCTTAGGGCGGCAGTATTATATACATAATCCTTCTCGTGAACAAGTTTCTTCTTTCTCGTTATGTCAAGAGTATCTACTCTTCTGTAACCAGTACGTCGTCTTCCGTTAACAACATCCAGTCCTCTGCCAACAATATTAAATCCTCTGGAAACAGCATTTACCCTTCTGCTAAAAATATGTAGTCCTTGTAAATAAAATCCAATCTTCTGCAAGTACTTTATAGAGTTTTGGTGGATGTATCTGGTTTTCTGCAGGCAGTATTTAATATTATCCCAGCAATATTAGTCTTCTGCCAGCAATAACTTGTCTTCTGTAGGCTAATTTAGTCTATTGACAATAGTAGTTGTCTTCTATTTGCAAGATTTAGTATTTTGCCGAAAGTATCTGCAAAAGATATGTATTTCTTTGCAAATAGTATCCAATTTCCTACAAGTAATTATGCACTGTGTACCTTGTCTTCTGTAGGCAGCATCTAATTTTCTCCCAACAGCATATAAGCTATACGCATAAACTTGTGGATTTATTCCTCATGACAAATAATGACTAATAGATGAAAAAATTGTAGTAAAAGTTTAGTTTAGTTTCCTAGATATCCGATATAATCGGCGACATCTAGATAATGTGTTTCCTGAAAGATGAATAGGTCGAGATGGTCCAATGGCCTGGCCACTGTGATCGCCCGGCCTCAATCATCTTGGTTTTTACTTTTCGGGTCACTTAAAAAGCATAGTGTACGTCACGGAAGTTAATACTGAGCAAATATTGCAAAATCAGATACATGCTGCTGCCCAGACAATTCGCCAACACCCTGGTTTAGGCCACGCTAGTGGAAGATCGTAGATTCCGGGAGCCCAATTGATAGCACGTTCGTTATTTTAAAATTCTTGATTTGAAAGTAAATATCACGGATATCTATGAAACAGAATTAGTCATTATTCGTCGTGAGGAGTAAATCCCTAAGTTTATGCGTATAGGTTGAGAATCACCCTGTGTAGCCTGCTGCCCGATGTATCATATTTCGGCAGTATTTATTCTTCTGCAAGTTGTATTTAATATTCTACAAGCAGATCTAGTCTTGAATGAAGTATCTAATCTTCTATTAGCTTCTTCTTCAACCAGTTATACCTTCTATGTTCAGGATTTACTCTTCTGCGGTTATCTTCTGTCTGCAATATGTTTTTACTGCATAGTATTTAGCACATTACTAACAGTATTTAATCTTCTGATACTGCATCTGCTACCATGAGAGCAGTATCTAATCTTGTCTGCAGTATTTAGTCTTCTACAAGCATCTAGTATTGTACTAGAAGTATCTGGTCTTCCATTAGCAGCATTTTGTTTTATGCAAGCAGTATTTTGTCTCATCCAAGCAATACTCATTCAGCTACAAGCAGATCTTGTAACTTTCTTCTTCACATTTCTATATAGGAAGCTATCCTGGTGTCTCTGGCGTTATAGCAACATCATACTACTTCTGGCATCTCCAATTACTCAGTTGCTATTTATTCTTCAGTATTAAGAGGTAGTTTACGACTCTATTATCGGCGGATTCACGGAAAATAATGTTCTCCATTTCTGGAGATTCAAATATCTGTCAACCTTGGTAACCTTTCTAAGGCTTTATCCCCCAGAGCTATCGATTTCTTGAAAAAGCCATCACCTCAACTGGTTTATACCAACTGAATCATTCCAATAATAATTTTGGCAAAGTCTCGATCTTATTTTAGACTCTGATACAATTGCGTTTGACCAAAATATGTCATAATAGTAAAAAGTATTAAAAATTCGTATACGAAGAACGGATTAAAGAGCGATGATGTATGTGATGCCATTGGTACATCTCTTTTCAACTTATTTCAATTGTGAGTTTAGTGCATCGTTGCAGTTTCACATACTTTTAATGACAGCTGACAGGTTGACTGTGTATACACTGACTTCAACAAAGCAGTTGATAAAGTAGATCACTCTGCCTCATTGACTTCGAACGTCTTGTTGCTGAAACATTTCTTGATTCATATTTGAGAATATCAGCATTTCTAGCATTGTAGAGTTTCCTTAAAAGTGCCTCGCATTCTGCATAGAGATGCTTAAGAGACTCTTCTATCTTTCTTCATGATGTATCATGATTATAGAAACCTATCTTTTTATGCTTTCATTTTTTTTTACCTTGAAGAAGGAATAAATTTTAATCCGAAAGCTTGGTTAAAAGAAAAAGAACAACTTTTGTTTTAATTCCCATGCACTGGTCGATTCCCAAGAATATCTACATTTCCCATACGCCTAAATCGTTATCGTATGGTCCTTATTTTATGCCAAGAGTATCCTACTTTTCTGTAACTAGTACGTCGCCTTC